CTGGGGGGCAACTGGAGAGACCACTGCTTGACAAAGGTGTGCTGTGTGAACTTCCTCTGGGGAGACACAAATAAGCGCCTAGTCATGCCTGATAGGGCACCAGCAACAGACCAACTATTAGTCCACCGAAGTGGACTCGGCAGCCAAGGAGCGACTTACAGAGCCTGGGTGGGGGCTATTGTCAGGAGGGTAGATGGCCTCGAACAGTTGCATCCCGGGAATGTCTTAACCGACATGAACGACAGCTTCCTCCTAGCTGCCCGGGTGGTGCCCCCATCTTCAGTTAACTTCCTGTCTTATGTATGTCCTCTAGTACTTCCTGAGAATCCCACACCGTGTGCAATCAGGTCGTAATTACATAACAGAGAGGCCAAGATCTCAAAAGGGCGTTTAATCCCCCTCCCTACACCTTCTATGATGGAACGTCCACAGACTCCATCTCAAGAGACTCTGGCGGTCCCAGCTGCCTCTGTTGACAGTGGTCATGGAGGGCAGTGTTCCCAGGCTATGAAATGTCACAAGGTGACATTCCCCTTCTGCTTTCAGATGACAGCGCAGAAAGAAGTTTGATCCTCCTTGTCAGAACACTGCTGGAAATCAAAAACGAAGGAGCAAACACGTAGGGCTGCAGATGTAACCCAGCGGTGGAGTGTGTATTTAATATGTATAAGGCAGTGTGTTATAAGCAAATAATAAAGTAAATAAGTAAAGGATGATACATGTATATAAACACATACTCTATACGCTGACTTTTTTTTTCCCTAAGAAATTCTCTAAGACTCTAGTCTTATCACATTATAGAAGTCTGTTTCTCCATATCAAGTCCATACTAGTCAGAATTCTTTCAGATGAAAATGATCAAAGCCTGCCCCCAAGCTGAGAGACAGAAACACCAGGACTATACTGCCTCATTTTACTGGGGAGTCCAAGAATGGAATTCAGATACTGTGAACTCCAGAGAATCAACGTTGGCCATTGGAATCAGTCCCTTCCTTCCCCTGCCCCTTCCTGCCTCACTCTTGTTGTGTTTTTCCTGCATGTTCCCATATATTGATCTCAGTATCCGCCCTTGAAAACGCACATAGCAGAGAAAAGGCTGTCCATAGGCAAGTCTTCATATTCTTCAAGTACCATAACCTTTTAAAACACCCTGAATGTGGTTCACTTGCCTCTATAAACCACATTACCATCTGTGGGGGTTTGAAATGAGAACGGCCCCCATAGACTTGTATGTTTGAATGCTTGGTCCCCAGTTAGTGGAATTGTTTGGAAAGGATCAGGAGATGTGGTCTTGCTGGAGGAGGTGTGTCATTGGGCATGGGCCCTGAGGTTTCCAAACCCCACACCAAACATAGAGTCTCTCTCTCTCTCTCTCTCTCTCTCTCTCTCTCTCTCTCTCTCTCTCTCTCTCTCTCCTCTGCCTGTTGCTGTGGATCGGGATATAAAGCTCACATCTACTGCCCCAGTGCCATGCCTACCTGCCTCCCACCATGATGAGCATGGAACAACACTCTGAAATTATAAGCAAGTCCCCAGTTAGATATTTCCTTTATAAGAGTTGCCTTGGTCATGGTGTCTCTTCACAGCAACAGAACACCAACTAAAACACCTTTCTTATTAGCGTCTCTAGAACTTTGATTAGGCCGGATTTTATTTATCGTATCACTGTTTTAACAAGGTGACATATTAGTTAGACCTAAATAAATTCATATATCAAGGTCTTGGAATAAAATGCAATAAAAAACAATTTCTCTTCTAGTCATGAGTATTGAATCAGGGCCTCACACATGTTGGGTAAGAGCTCTACCACTGAGCTACATCCCCCTTCCTGTTGTATTTACTAAGATCAAACAAAATCTTTTGGTCTTCCTTCCCTTAACCTAACTGAAATGATCAGAAGGAAACTTGAATAAAAATGTTCAAGGGAAATTATCTTTTTAATACAAGGTAAGAATAACAGTGTCAAATCCCATATTATATATGCTCAGAGAGAATTAAATATATTTTCTAGCTCTTTTTTTCATTGGTTGTGAACCTAGCCTTTAATGGCTAAGCCATCTCTCCAGCCCATTTTTCTAGCTCTTTTAAAAACAAAACGAAAAGACACAAAATCACATCAGATTTTAATAATTAAGAGTTTTGCTCAATAAGGACTTCCTGAAGTGTGTTTCCAGGGCTGTGCCACCAGTCCCTGTCTTGAAGGGAGTCATTGTATACGTCAGTCAGGACACTGATGTGCCCACTATGTTTGAGCAGCATTCTGTATTGATTCACCCAGACACTATCTGCCCCGTGGGAAACACATAGACTTGCCAGCCTTCACACTTGGAGACACCGGGAAAATATCAGCAACGACTTCTTGTTGCCAGCATGGGTTATTTTCTTATAGTAAATGACCCTGCATCTGTCTTCCTGGTTTGTGCACTTATGGAAGAATCTGTTTGACAGAGGGTCGCTGAAGGCCGTAACTGCGATGGCATGGACCTCCGCTCTTGAGGAGAATCCTGGGGCTGTATGCAAACAAGGGGCTGAGCAGAATATTTTTGGAATAATTGAGAATTACATACGTGAATAAACTTGGAAATGAAAAATGTTGTCACAGATGGGAGAAGCCCTAGACTCATCAGCTAAGTTGCCTGAAGAGAAAACACAGTCCTAGCTAAGCATGAGATCTGCTGCTTAAAATATGCTAAGACTTTCTGAGCCAAACAGGCTTTTAAACTCCAGGCAATCACTTGCTTCTGTGCTCACATTATTTTGGACGTGTTTGTGTGAAGGCTGAAAGAGACTGCAAAAAGGTCAACATGAAATTATGAATGATCAGCGCTGGTTTCCGATTCTTTGGGGTTCTCACAATCTATTATAAGAAACAAGTGTATTGATGGAAGCCAAACAAGATTAATATCTTCTGTTCTGCAGATTTCCCATTTAGGGTGTCAAGCGCCCCCTTCTCAGCTCAGAATCTTGAGGTCTTCTCTTTTTTGAAACTTTAGTCTTCAATGAAAATCATTATCTTAGATGATGAAGGTTAAAAACCTCAATTCTTGAATATTTTGCAAAAAAAAAAAACCGATTTACCAGCAATGACAGCATGTTTTGGTGTTTGGGAAAACTTTGTTGGAAAAGTCCACTAAGCTACATGGTTCCTAGGTACAGGCAGGTACATTGCCTTGCTTACTTGCTTAAGTGCAGAGTTCCTAAAATTACGATTCATGCTCTAATCACAAGCAGAGAAGTAAAAGCAGCCACCATTTCGGTTCTCTATGAACTGTTTTTCTCTCAGCACTGGTAGCTGAACCCAGGGTCTTTGCATGGCAGGCCAGTGCTCTACCTCTGAGCTACATCCCAGACCCTGCAAACATTTTTTTCAACACATTAAATTACAAACAGTAAAATAATCCCCCAAATTCCCTGTCAAGACTTTCTCTTGGCTGTGTCAAGCTGACAAACTGTAACAAACTAACTGAACAACTAGTTTTACACACTCGGAGTCTAGAAAACCATGGCGTTCAGACTTTTGCAAAGTTTGACTTCTAAATTGTTCTTCCCAGTAAAACTCTACTTGGACTTTTCCTTTCACTGGAAATCAGGACTCTAGTTAACCAACATCTGAGTGTTTTATATCCTTCAAAAGCCAAAGGGAGGCCAAGGACAATTCCTCTGGACCTCTCTTCAGCCATACCCAGCTTCTGGAGAATTCTTTGAAGACGGTGGAAAGGTCTGAACTGAAAATGGGCAAATAACGCTCTATCATGCTCTCCCTTCTTTCTCTCCTTCCCTCCCCTCCCTCCCCCTCCTTACAGACACATCTCTACCAGAACTTGTAAATGGCAAGGCCAAGTATTGGGGCTGCCCAAGACTTCCATTGTAATAACACATAACCTGATGCTGTACATGGAGTTATGGCATTTAGTGCTTATCCTGCTGGGGTTTGGTCTTTTGGGGGTCCCATTCCTCTTTTCTGTGCCCCCATTGCTTCATTTGGAAAGGAACATGTTTACTCCGTGTCACTGTGCATTTGAAGTATGTAATTTGTTTTTATTTTCTATTTTTTGTTTGTTTTTTTTAGAAAGGGTTTTTCTGTGTAACAGTTCTGGCTGACCTGGAACTCTCTCTGTAGACCAGGCTGGCCTCGAACTCACAAACCTCCTGCCTCAGCCTCCAGAATGCTGGGATCAAAGGTGTGCATCACTATCACCCAGCTTATTTTTATTTATTTATTTTAATCAGGGGCTCACATCTAAGGTTGTACATTGAGTTTCAACAGTGACTTTGAATTTGGACTTCTGATGCAATGTTTTAACTGTTATGACTTTGAGAACTCTTGGGTTGGATTATAGGCATCTTGCGTTACAAGGTAGCCATGGCCCTTCCAGTCCAAGGGTAGAAGGCTGTTTTACATATAAAATGTCCCTCACAAACTATTATGTTGAATATTTTGCCCTATTTTTGGAGTGCTATTTTGGGAGATAGTGGGAACTTTTGGGAGACAGGGCTAGGGCATTTGTTCTCAACCTGTGGTTTGTGATCCCTTGGGTTGAAGGACCTTTCATAGAGGTCAAATATCAGATATCCTGCATATTGGATATTTACACTCTGATTCATAACTAGAAAAATTACAGTTATGAAGTAGTAATAGAAATAATTTTATGGGGTGATCACAACATGAGCAATTAAAGGGAAACAGTGCTTTTAAGGCTGAGAACCATTGTCTTTGAGGGAAGAAGTAGGCCCCTAAGTCATGTCTTTGAAAGTTACACCTGGTCTCCAGTCCCCCTTGTTGTAAGGAGGGGGCCACTTATTGGTTCCCAGCCACTTAGCTCTGAAATAATCACACAGAAACTGTAATAATTAAATCATTGCTTGACCCATTAGCTCTAGCTTCTTATTGGCTAACTCTTACATATTAATTTAATCCATTTCTATTAATCTGTGTATCTCCACATGGCTGTGGCTTACTGGCTAACGTTTTGTCTGGCTCTGGCGGGGCTACAGGGCTTCTCTCTAACTCCTCCTCCTTTCTCCCAGCATTCAGTTTAGTTTTCCCTGCCTAGCTCTGTTCTTCTGCTATAGGCACAAAGCAGTTCCTTTATTAACCAGTGATATTCACAGCATACAGAGGAGAATCCCACATCACCCCCTTTTCTCTACTTCCTGTCCAATATGAAGTAAAGAACCTTCTCTTCTCCACAAGGCAGGCAAGGAAAACACCAATTGAGACCTTGAAAGCTGAACCAAACAAAGACTTCTCCTTGGAGGCTGTTCATGGGCGACATTGTGTACCAGTTAAAAGTAGCGAACACAGTCTGGTGTAGTGAAGGTGCTAGCAGTCAGGCATTTACACAGGTCTGACCTTGAAAACCAAGAAACAGCAGGACACATCATCATCAGTTGCCAAGATGAGACCCTGTGGCTACAGCAGATGGGATTTGTGCACAATCTCTGTGTGCACATGTGCATATTCCCTCATACCAAACAAGTGCTCTTGCTCCCTGCTCTCTTTTCCTTCTGCTCTTGTTCAGGGGTTACCTCTGTACTCCTCCCCCAACACACCTCTGTCCTGTGAGCTCTGTTGCACAGTGTGACTCTGTGGCGCCCCTTGGCTCCAGCCCTGCCAAGGTTAAATCATTACAGAAGGGGTGTTGGCTGGCACGTCACTCTGCTAGTTGTTGTGGAATAACACCCTGTTGAAATAGGAGCGGCGGGGTTGCGTCCCCAACACCCCGGCTGCTTGGCTAGCTCATGCCCGAAATAACAACACACAAACTGTATTCATTTACACACATGATTCGACCATCAACTCTAACCCTTACAGGCTAATTCTCGCACCTGGACTAGCCCATTTCTAGTAATGTGTGTAAGCACCCCATGGTGCGCTTACCGGGAAGATTCTAGCCTAAGTCCATCGTGGGTTGGAGTTGCCTGGGAGAGCTGAGCATGGCGTCTCTGCTCCAGCAGAGCTGTCGGGTCTCTCCGGAAGCAGAGCAGAGTCTGACCTCACTTCCTCTTCCGCCCAGAATTCTATTCTGTTTACTCCTCCCATCTATGTTCCAGCCATGAGGCCAAGCAGCTGGTTTATTATAACTTAACCAATGAAATCAACAGATTGATATATGACACTCCCACATCAACACCCGACAGAACCAATGAAGAGGAGGGTTTATTTTTGACTGATGGTTCATGAAGGCACACAATCATGGAGGGGAAGACATGGCTGCACAAGCATGAGGTTGCTCATCACATTGCGTCAGTAGTCAGAAGAGAGAGGTGAAATGCTGGTGCTTCACTCACTGTCTTTTTTGTTCACTCTGGGAGCCCAGCCCACAGAATACACACACATACTTCCATGCACTCGGGGTGGGTCTTCTTGTAATGGTCTGTCCTATCCCTTTAAGAGACAAGCCCCACCCACTCTTACCTTCCGCTGAGGCAAGCAGATCTTCCTTCCACTTCCAGCCTACTCTCTTTCTGCCCCGTCTCTTCAGAAGAGGTGGCTGCTGCCATGTCTCCTTTCCTTCCTCACCTTCCCTTTCTCCCCACAGCCCACTGAATAAACTATACCAAAATCTTCTCTCTACATAGCGTGCCTATCTGTCTCTGTCTCTCACATGTTGCAACTCCTCATGGGACTGGCTACCCCACTGCCCACCCATCAAGGTCTCTCACCTGCCATGCGACTCCCTGCCTGGGACCCGCTGCCCCTTGTGGTCTGCTGTGCCCCCCAGGGAACTGCAGTGTTTTATCTAACATTTGGTGCTGTGACTCACATGCAACCTCAGTTCAAATCTGAGTCATAGCATCAATGTTATGGTAAAATGGTGCAGCTGGGTTCCACCACCTGAGGCCTCTGTGGGTCTCAGGCAGGTGGGAAGTTAGCAGAGGGGCAGCTGGTCCCACAAGGAGCCACAGCAGGTGAGAGACAGAAATGGATAGGCATGCCATGCAGAGAGAGGGCTTGGGTATAGTTTATTCAGTGGGTTATAGGAGGAAAGGGAAGGGAGTGAGGGAGAGAGAGAGAAAGAGAGAGAGAGCGAGAGCGAGAGAGAGAGAGAGAGAGAGAAATAGAGAGAGAAATAGAGAGAGAAGGGGGAGGAGAGGGTAGAGAGGAGAGGAGAGGAGCCATGGCAGCAGCCACCTCTTCTGAAGAGATGGGGCAGAAAGAATGCAGGCTGGAAGCAATAGGAAGATTTGCTTGCCTCTGCAGAAGGGGGGAGTGGGAGGGGCTTGTCTCTTAAAGTAACAGATCATATCATTACATTCCCATCTCTTTTTTATAATAAAAAAAGGTGGGAAGTTAGGCACCACGGGTTAAAGGAATTGGGACGACAGATTCTCAAGACTGCTTCTTACTTATTTGTGGGTGTCATCTTGGGGGGAGGGCTCTGAGAAAGCTGGGTGCTGGTCACATCCTGGGGTAGCTGGTCTCTTTGCTCCTGCCTGGTGTTTGTGGTATGGAAATGCCTGGTGTCTCTTATACCTGTTTAAGGTATTGGCAGAATAGAGGACAAAATTAAGTTTAGGAAAAAAAAATTAGGACCAGGGAATTGAGAGGGGTATATCTGACCTGCTTAAGGTGGACCCTTTAATCCGGCTCCCTGGAACTCACAAGAATTTTTTGGGTTTGTGAAAACACTAAGTTTTAAACAGCAGCATACTTCTATCAGAATGACTGTGACAGATATTTTTGCATAATGAAAAGCATTTTTAAGACTATAAAAGGCAGTGTGAGAGAATTTGATAACTTGTATTTGTCTTCACACATTTATAATTTGCAGTTTCATGCCTTAATATCTTGTATTTGTATTTTACTGAAATTCATTTGGTGAGGTTGTCCTTTTAAACTGACAAAGCCTCTCACCTGTCAAACTGCATTGGAGATCTTTGAAAAGGATAAAATTTTACTTGAGGAGTTAATGATTAAAAAATGACAAGAGAACTTACTTGGTTGGCACCTAGACCTATTTCTCAGGGTCCTCCATGGTCGCTGAGGGTTGTATTTGCCTTTTGCTGTTTAGCATGGTGCCTGTCAGGCTCCAGAAGATCCTGTGGGTTAAGAAATCTGTAGGAAGACAAGCCTACCTTGACCTAAGCAGCAGCTGTCAATACTGGTGATTCTTTCTGGAGATCTTCAGTTTAGATGAAAGGCAGTTTTTCCCAGTGGTCAATGCTTGGCAGTTGAAGTGAATTGCAGATAGATATTATTCTGTGCCCATCTGTCTTCTGTCTTCTTTGGAGCAAGTGGAGTGCTGTTGCTAGGAGCCAACCTGTCTCTTTTTGTTATGAAACCTTTTTAATAATTAAACATTTAAATGGCATATTCCCCAGATCTCTGGGCAGTTGAGGGCTGTTTACCGGGTATAGATAAGTTATAGAATCTGCTTGGAGAGCTGGGTCCAAGCTTGACTGTACTGGCTCTCAACTTAACAGGTAAGATTTATAATTGTAAAAGACAGAAATAATTAAAAAAAAACGCTTGCAATAAAGCTTAACAGTAGAATTGACAATAGTCGAGAACTGTTTAATATATTTTAAAGCAAGGTTGAATCAAATATATAGTATTTTTGTAAGAGACTTAAAAGTACATACCAATTTAAAACATGAGACTTATTGTTTTTTTAGTCTGGAATGAGATACAATGAGCAGACAATTATAATATTTAACAGTAAACATAGGTACATTTAAGTTACATGTATACACACATACACACACACACACACACACACTAAACAGAAGTTGGGCAAAGTGGATGCTCTTGGTGGGCCCTACCAAAGGAATGCCACTGCACAAAACACACATGTGACAGAGTCAGCACCAGGGAACCAGGCAGGGAATACCTCAGTAAAGATGGCGGGAACTGATCACCTGACCTCAGTTAAAATGGTGGTGGTCACATGTTGTATGGAGAAGCCATGTTTTTTGAGCCATGGGAGTTTTAAATACAATATCAAGAGAGACCTAGAGGCTTAATCTGTCCTGTTGCCAATCCTTTGTGCCACAAGCCACGGCAGAGAGGAAAGGCTGGAATTGAAAACAGCTGCCTTGCGGATCTGACTAATCTTGTCAGTTTCTGTGGGACCAGCAGTAGGGGTGTCAGGGATAGACTAGAAGGAATGGGAGCGAGAGGAAAAGAGCATTTTCAGATGGATGGGGATTTTGCCCAGCAAAAGGAAAAGCAGAGCCAGTGGGACACCAGCAGAGTGTGTGCAGGCAGGTGGCTGATAGTTTGAGGGTTTATAGTCCATAGCTGAGAACGTGAAAGCCTGCGAAAACAGTATCACTGCAAGGCCTATAGGAAAACATCTCTCTACAGGCCAGGTGTTGATGTAGCCTGACTGGCCCTGTCTGGGTGGCTGGGAAGCCAGAGGCTAGAGGCCATCCTGGATGATCTCTCACAGAAGGGATCACTTACGAGGGTCCAAAAGAAAAGGGAAAGAAAACTCCGAGGGATCCTAGGTTCCAGAGAGAATGCCCTGCTCAGCGTGTGCAGTGCTAGGGCGTAAGGATCACCCTGGGTTGTCCGATCATGTTTTTAGCAATGGGAAGCAACCAGAGATGAATGTCAGCAAAGGGCTCAACCACAGCAGTGAAGGTTGTGGTTGGGGGCAACCCCTCCCCCCCACGTCTAGGAACACCATAGGATTTCCAGGACCTCAAGGGTCAATTTCTCAGGTTCAGAGAAACAGTTAAGCTGACTGGAATGGGAAAACTCACCATTGAAGCCGCTGGTGTGCGTAGAGATAAGTGCTCAGGTAAATACCTGGTTCCTGAGCCCAGGTTTCCACATGTCCTCAGCCAGCCCACCTGCGGGCAGGAGGGAACGTGGAGGAAGCGTGAGCACCAATGTAATGGTTTAAGTAAATGACACAGTTCCCTGAGGGGCGGCAGTGGACCTTCAGGGACAGCCGGGTTTTACTGAAAGACCCCCGGTGCGGGGAGACTCTCACTCAAGTCTAGGGATAACACGCCCCCCCCCCCCCCCAGTAACTCACTAGAGACCATCCTTGCTGCAATCACAGGAGGCTTTAATTGATGAGACGAGATGGGAACCAGTGCACTGGGGCCGAGACTCATAACCCACGCAGGGGAAGAGTTTGACCCCGAGTGACCTGGAGAAGGGAGAAGGGTTTATAGGAAGAAACCACAGCCCAATAATAGGGGCAGGGAGGGTGTCACAGAAAGTCACAAGCAGACAACTCCCTGCCTCTCAAGATCACTCAAGGTCATAATCAGCTAGTTCCTAAAATCACAACGGGGAAACTCCCTGTTTCTCAAGATTACAATCTAACTTTATCTTCAGCTAGTTCCTGAAACACAGCCACTGAACTGGCTAATCCTAGATTTTTGATTCTTCTCTTCCTGCTTGGATTTTTGGCTATTTTCTTCCTGCTGGGGAGGTCTGGATTTACCCAGGTCTTTCACTACCACACGAGGCCTCTGTGGGTCCCAGGTGGGTGGGAGGTGGTGGGTGAGAGACCTCGGCACATCGGTGGGGCAGCTGTGGCAGGTGGGTGATGGATAGGCATGCCATGCAGAGAGAGGGTTTAGGTATAGTTTATTCAGTAAAAGGGAAGGAAAGGGAAGGGGAGAGAGAAAAAAAACAGGGGGGAGAGAAAAAGGAAGCAGAAGAGCCATGGCAGCCACTTCTCCTGAAGAGGGCAGAGAGAGCATGGGCTTGAAGTAGAAGGAAGATCCGCTTGCCTAGGCTGAAGAGGGGAGTGGGCAGGGCTTGTCTCTTAAAGGGACAGGACAGACCATTACACTTCTCACCTAATGCTGTAATACCATGGAGACTTCACAAAGTTCTGCCTCCGAGAACAATGAACAATTAACAATTAAAACCAGCCATCAGAATCAAGTGGATGAACAACAACAGCAATCACACCAGACAAAAATACTAGACAAAGTCGGGTAGTGGTGTGGCACATGCTTTTAATCCCAGCCCTTGGGAGGCAGAGACAGGCAGATCTCTGTGAGATTTGAGGCCAGCCTGGTCTACAAGACCAGGACTAGTTCCAGGACAGACTCCAAAGCTACAGAGAAACCCTGTCTCGAAAAAAGCCAAGGAAAACAAACAACAACAACAAACAAACAAAAAGGACATGACTGCCCCTGGGTCTGGTGGAGGAGAAAGTTGATTGTAGATGCGCGGGAGAGCATAGTCAGAGGCAGGGACATCTGGGAGAGTCCAGAATGAGTACAGACTGCACTGGGCCCTGTGCAGAGAGAGGGAGGGGAACCGGGTGCAGCAGCCAAGAGGCCAAAGGTACAAAAAAGGGCAGGCAATCAAAATGTCTGGATTACATAGGGCAGAGCCTCTGGGGGAAGGGCAGCCCAGCTGCTGGGCTGAAGAGTTCAGGCTAGCAGGTGGGATGTGCCAGCCATAAACTGTAATAGGTATGGTCTGAAGGATTCTGGGAGAACCTGGTGGCTCTGTCTGCTTTGATATGTTAAAGCCATTTGGGCCAGGGCTTGAAATTTAACACCAAGGAGTGGAGTTTTCAGGAGTAAACACTTAGAAAATCCATTATGGTAATTACTTCTACCAGCCTTCTTCCACATTTGTATTCAAACCCCTAGTCTTCCTTGGATGTAGCATATACTTGGAGAGTCTGCATTCTCTCTCTCTTTGTGTGTGTGTGTGTGTGTGTGTGTTTAAGACAGGATTTCTCAGTATCCTGGAACCTGCTCTGTAGACCAGGCTGGCCTCAAACTCACAGAGATCCACCTGCCTCTGCCTCCCGAGTGCTGAGATTAAAGGCGTGTGCCACCACCACTGGGCTCTGCATTATTTTTTAAAGCTGTATGTACTGGTCGGCTTAATTCCTAGCATCCACACACAGTGACTTGCAACCTGTCTGTAACTCCAGTCCCAGGGAATCTGAAACCCTCTTCTGACCTTCGAGGGCACCAGGCGTGCCTGTGGTCATATGCATACATGCAGAAAAAACACTCATACACATAAAATAATGATAAAACAACTCTTTTTTTTAAAAATGCTAGTGAATTGGTTTCATAGCAGCTCACCAAATTTTCCAATTGTTTTTCCATCTCATCTACATAAAAGCCCAAGTCTTGACAGCCAGCTCCCTGGGTCCCATGTGCAAAGACCCTTCTAGTCATTCACACCCTGCATGATCTGACTCCCAAATACCTCTGTGACCTCCCTGTCGAACGCCACTCCCTGCTCATTCTTTTCATCTGGTCCTTTTCAGTTTCCTCCACCTCAGGGTTTTGAATTTGCTGTTGTCTAAAACTAGCACAAGAGCTGGCTCTCCTTTTTTTCTCCAGACAACCCTCACTTCCTCTCTTTTGATTTTTGTTCAGCTGGTGAGTAAGTTCCTTGTTTTGTTGCTGCAACACAATACCTGAGAAAAAGCAACTTAAGGGGAAACTTTGTCTTTGGCTCATTGTGGTATAGGCCATCAGGGTGACATGGCAGCATGAGCTTGGTCACGTTGCTGTAGGCCTTAGCCAACCACGATATAGGAGCAGACCACCCGAAAGAAGTTCTTCCAACCATCATCACCTGCCAGTCTCAGTAGTTTACCCTGAGGCAATACCTGGTTGCGGGAAGGTCAACAAACTGAGATTACTAAGGCACCACCCAAGAACAGACCATCCAAAGGAAATTCCTAATGTTCCAACCATTGTAGATAGGATCGCCTGCCAGCAAACATTCACCAGGACACCCCTAGACAAATGTCAGCCAATCAGGGGTCCTGAATCTTGGAAATCCCTTACCCCCACCTTTACTACTATAAAAACCCAACTCTAACTGAGCTCGGGTGTTGACAGGGGTTTCTGTTCCACCTAGTCCCACAGCTGTTAAGTCCCAAAGAATCACACAGATGTCTACATTAAATATAAAGTGATTGGCCTATTAGCTCAGGCTTCTTATTAACTGTTAACTAATATTAGCCCATAATTCTTGTCTGTGTTAGCCACATGGCTTGGTACCTTTTTTGGCGAGGCAGTCACATCTTGCTTGCTCTGTGTCTGCTTCCTCCGTGTCTGAGTGACCGACTACAGACTGCATCTCTCTTCTTCTCAGAATTCTCCTGTTCTCAATGCCCCACTTCTTCCTGCCTGGTCGCCAGCCTATACTTCCTGCCAATCAGCATTTTATTAAACAAGCACAAGAAACAAATCTTTACAGGGTAAAACTATTGTCCCACAGCACTGGAGGTTCTCCAATTATTCCAATATGTTGGACACACTGAGAGACCATGTTTGCAAACTTGTAAAAAATAAAAAAAAACTCTTTGCTTTTACATACACTACTCTGTTTCCTTGTTGGTTTTGAAAAGGGGGAACTTCACAAATCTGGGCATAACAGCTGCATAGGGTGTCAGGAAACAAAGAGATGATGTCTGGTGCCCAGTGCTTTCTTCTTTTGATTCAGCCCTGCCAAGTCATCCAATGGTGCCACTCGTACTTAGGGTGGTTCTATAATGGTAAAAATAAAATGGTGCAATTTCCCAAGGGGTGGCAGGCAGAGGGCCATGAGGGGCAGTGAGTCCCAGGCAGGGAGCAGTGCTTCAGGTGAGAGACCCCCGTGGGTCAGTTGGTCCCATGATGAGCTGCAGAGGGTGAGAGACAGAGATGAATAGGATAGGCACGCTATGCAGAGAAACTGGGTATTTATTTAGTGGGTTATGGAGGGGAACAGAGGAAGGGAAGAAGGAGGAAGAGGAGAAAGAGGCAGAGGGAGAAGAGAAACAGAGAAAGAGAGGAGGGGGAGA